TGGATCAAACGATCTCTAACACAAATGCAAAGCAGAAACGCACGTCGAATATCCATTGCGGACAACGCAGTTACTAGTCCCTTTAGATATTTATTAGCACGGCCCTATGACACTAAATCGTAAAATTTGACGACTTACGAAGGCTACAAAAGCAAGCAAATCGTCAGGTCCCAATGCCTTTGACATGAAAGCTCTGACATAGAGCCTCAGACCAACCACGACTGTTGTACAGATGATAAGAGCGATGTTAAGGTGTAGAGTCTTATCACCAGCGTATCCTGGAGAGTCCATGAAGTGGACTTTGCCGTCCATTGCAATCGTGCGTGTCCTTCGACGTGATTATCGATACTCCAGCAGGAAGATGGACCGGAGAGAGTATGAAACGAGAGAAAGAGAAAGATTCGAAGGCTCCGTTTGCTAGGCAGTTGACAAGAGTAAATCTGTCGACTGACGAGATGGAGATCTGGCAGAGGAACCGCAAAGGACGTCCAGCCACGAGTTTTGCCCATATTAATTGTCCTTCCAGCCGTGGCGTCAGTCCGTTCACTTTTCATGGCTCGTTACATTCTCAAACACTCGGCGCAGGCCCCTTAGCGGCCGAGCTACTGCGCCGCAGCCATGCGCGGCAAAGACTTTTGCAGAATCGTCTTGATCATTCTCTCAACTGTTACTAACGCGACATGAATCCTGGTTTTCGGTGTCAGGGTTGTTTACAGCCGTTGTGCATGCAGGAGAATGGGATGACAGTCGGCATGGTGTTGGCCACTTGTGAAGCAAGATGTATCGAATTTTTAATGTTTCGCTGGACCAACATACATGTGTTTAATTTCGCCAATGCATACAGGCTCTGCCACCAGTCTCAACATGGTCATGGTCAACGTGATCTTCAAACGCCACGATCTAGGAGGGAAAGTCTTTTGCCTTCGACGAATTGAAGCAGAAGAGAGTATTCTAGGCAGCTGAATGTGTATACTTACTCTGCCAGTAGCATAGCACGGGTTCTACGTAGAATTTAAAACCTTATTCTTTCGATCTTGTGCGAGTTTGATAGTCTGAAGTTTCTAAGCACAAAGCTCGCGCACCGGTCATGCATTCGCCTTATCAAAGGATCAGTAGTTGGGTCCTATAGGACAAATTTTCATCTTTCGCACTATGTTCGATTTCGTGTGCGGTGTTGTTGGTTTTGGCTCTTGGCATCAGGCGGCTAGTTAGGCCTCTGCTCCGCGTGTTGGTCGAGACCTGGCTCGAAAGAGCGCTTCGCAGCAAGCCACGTCTCGCCAAACGGAGATATGCCTCAGAAGACGAGAAGTTCCCGACGACTGTGGGATTGCTCCGTTCGCATTGCACCGGGTTAGAAGCTTGAAGATAGTGTGATGAAAACATTCCCTTGTTGCATAGTGTTGGAAGTAGCGAAGCCGGATGCTACGTCGGACTGACAATACATGTACCATTCCCTCAACGGTGATCATGTTTGTTCCCTCTTTTAATCCTCGAGGATGAGAGCGCCTTGAACCTCATATTATTGTGTGGAAATGATACCATGCTGGACACAAGAGGAAGCTCTGTAGTGAAGTGCAATCAAACAATCCAAGCTATCGGGTTTTGTTGACTAGCAATGATGAATCTTTCCCCTTTCTCTGAAAGGCCAATTGTGCTTTTGCCAAGGCTTCATTCAGTTCTTGACTTCGGGGCAATCGACCAGTTTTACCCTACGGTTGGGCATGGACATCACCGCAGGTTTTAGACCACAGAGTAGCAATCAACACGGTTACCAGCCAGCTGCTGAGCTTCCACGAAAGCTTGCCCGACGTGGTCCAACAGTAGGCAAAAAGCTGCAAAGATGTAACGTTCTGAGAAGTGAGGTCGCAAGACCGATCCACAAACTTTCTCCCCACGATGCGCTGTCTGTGCTGAGCATGTCTGTGTGGGCATAGAGTCAAATTAGCCTCGTTACTTTGAAATGAGGTTCCATCGCCCCATAGGAACGAAGCCCCCAGGACCCCTGGCACGATGTTGGCTGAGGGCGCGCCTCCCAGCGCCTCCCACGTCTTCAAGGAGAGAAACCTCATTCAAGCTAGGCCGCCCTTTATCATCACCGGACTTTTCGGCGCCGAAACAAGATGGGCCCCAAAGGATCCAGAGCTACTCTTTCATTACTTTCGAACCCTTGCTCAAGAGCTACCTTGGCCTGATCTGAGATATTAGTGAATGAGCCAGGGCTGGCCTGCTGTGCCAAATTTGAAGTTGCAGCATTCATCAAAGTCTAAACCACAAGCAGGAGTCTTGAGCTCCCCACCACCGTTTACCTGAGGTGAACTTCATTTCTCCAATCTTCTTCAAACTTCCGCAACTCATCTCTCTACCCTTGATGGGGGCAGTCGATGATAGCTTAAAACTAGTGTGATCGGACACGCCTTCGGTGAGCAGGGTCCCTGGAAAAACTTAGCAGCAAGGGTCGGAAGCGTTGGGAAGGAAACAGGCATTAGGAGCGGGTCTTGAGGTAACCTCCACAACATCATCCGATCGAACCATAGGCCGTCAATGACGAGCAGAGCCCTAGCCGAAGGATACGCGTTCTTCTATGGAGCATGCATCCGGAGGCAGGGCTTCTTGATATCGAAGACGCATCACAACCAACCTGCATCTTGATACCAACAGAAAGTCTCAAAGAAGAAAATCAGCCGTCCCAGCATAAGGGCCTGATTGTGCCGCGAAGATGCATCGGGGCACACGGAAAGCAGTCTGTGCATCTCGTTTCCTCCAGGTAGACTGAAAATGCACTTTATCCGCAAGCGCGTGCCGACCTTGAAAATATGTTGGTTTCCCTCAAATGTGAACCGATCTGCCTCCAGCGTCTGGCAAAAGTAGAGACCTAGATTCAGTTCATTCCTTTCTTTCTTGGGATCATGCTAGTGTTTTCATCTCTGAACATCCTCTTTTAAATTATCATGCGTCTCTTCGCGACTGTCGCTCCGGCCATTCTTGGCTTGGCGGTCGTCCGTGCCGTTGCTGGTGCCCCATCAAATCACACCAGCCCCGGGTGCTGTCAAAACCCGCTGATCCGATACGAATGGCGGCAACTATCGTTGGAGCAGAGGTCAAGCTACATCGATGCTATTAAATGCTTGATGTCCCTGCCGTCGGAAGGCAATGATCTATGGCCTGGTGCGAAGACCCGATACGATGACTTCCAGGGAATGCACATCTATGTCACAGAACAGGTGCACTTCAATGTGAGTAAGCCCAATCTGCGTCCCAAAGTTAGCAGGTAGTTTAATGTGCTAATGTTGCTACAGGGACCTTTCCTCCCGTAAGAGATAACTCTAACCTTATTTCGATCGTCTTCTAAACACGTCAACTGTAGCTGGCATCGGTGGATGATATTCCTCTTCGAATCCGAGCTGAGGAACAAGTGCTCTTATCAAGGAACGCTTCCCTACTGGGACTTGAGTCTTGACAACACTGCGGAAAGTTTCGTCAAGTCGCCCGTCTTCGACAACACATACGGGTTCGGGGGTAACGGACCGTATATCGAGGATATCAGTGATGACGAGGAGTTCCCGGTCAAGACCCCCACGGAAATTCCGGGAAGGAGCGGAGGAGGGTGCGTCCAGGAAGGTCCATTTGCAAATCTCACGGTTCCCATGGGTCTTGGTACGTTGGGAATTTCCGCAAACCACAAGGCTTTCGTCCCTGCCTTGCATTTGCTGACTTCACATCCTGGCACTAGGCTCCTCAGTTGAATCTCAACCCCATTGCCTGCGTCGAGATTTCAGTCCCACCCTTGTTGCTAGTGCCCTGAGAGACGAAATCATTGACCGTGCGCTGTCTGCGTCGACCTACGGTGAATTCAACTCTCACATCCAGGGCTATAGTTTCGAGTTTGACGGCCTGACTCTCCACGCGGGCATGCATCTTGGCATCGGCGGTGCTGTTGGCGAGGTACATATGATCAGACGATGATGCTTCCTCATCATTCGGCCCTTTTTGGTTCTTTACTTTTTCAGTTGTGAAGTTGTGAAATCTGAGGAAGCTAATGGCCGGGACCAGAATGCGGACATGTACTCCTCCCCCGGCGATCCACTCTTCTACTTCGTCCACGGCGCACTGGACAAGATTTGGAACGACTGGCAGCGACGAGGTAAGCATGTTTTTCTGCTCACGAACTTGACTTTCGTTTCAGTGCCACTGCATGTGGTGAACAGACCAAGACACTTGGACAAGCGGCTACCTAGGCGCCCCGTTTTCCCCAGTATAAGGAAATGTCAAAAGTCGTAGGATCGATCTTGCTAACGATGGTCGTAGACTGGCCCGCGCGCAAAACCGCTATCGGTGGCCCGGACACCATGTTCGCGTACCCGTTCAACTTCTTCGGTGACGTACCGTACGAGAACATCACGTTGCAGTACCTTCTCAAGTACCCCAACTTTGGACAGGATATCCCCATTAGCGACGTGATAGATATCCACGGTGGTCTGTTTTGCTACGAGTATAAGTAGTTTTGGATATCTACTATACCATCTCAGTCTAGTGTGTTACAACGACGTCTACACTCTAGTCACAGCATCCGATCATACGAATCCATCGTACAGCGACCAATAGCCGCCCAAGACTAATGAGCTACATCGGCTACGGTTTTAGTCTGTCGAGTTCAGGTTGAGCCGCCTCTGGTCTGGGAGGAGAAGCTCCGTGCACAGGTTGAGGCGCGGGCTATTGCAGTTTGGGGTCTGGCAGACAAAAGACCAAGACAGCCACGGTGTCGATGTACCCGGATAAAGTTCCACTACCGAGCTAACATCGGAGGCATCCCCATTTGTCCTAGCTTGCGATTTGAAGTCGCTGAAGACGGCAATATTGCGGCGATGTTGACTGAAGAGTTCCGTGCGACAAAGGAATCTCATACCATTGCCAAGTTATGTGCGGGCGAGGAAACGAGACACTCATTACCACGCCCGTTGTAAGCTATGATTTGCTTTCCACTCTTCAGAGATAATACGTGTTTAGAGGATGCTCGATCCGTTGTAAATGCTTCGCCAAGTAATATGTGAACATGAAACGGAACTTTTATTAATTATGGTCTCAATCGACTGCGTGATGGAGACGGGACAAGACGATCGTGTGACTCTTGATCGTCCGCTATCCTTTTGAACCCTTCAGAAAATAGGGACTTTTCGCTCGGTTTGGTGTGAAGGCCCCTTGATTCGACCTCAACTTTCGTTGACCTTAACGGAGACTCATTAATACACCACCTCTCGTTTACCTCAATTCCTCCATACGTCTTGCTCGGTTTTTGTGGTGACGAAAAGTCGCATAGCTCAGCAGTGGCCTCCTCGTCACGAATACTGCTGAGACGGCGTATCTCCGATGTAATCTCAATCTCTTTTGTGATGAAGATTTGGCCGATACTACTCTGTAGGGTGGGCCAGAAGACGGGTAAGGAGGCGCAAATTGTCGCCAAGTTGATCTCAACGGCAGCGAGAACGATAGGCACGCAGCCGTACCAGCTGGGATCGAGGGTCGGATAAGTGCCCGCTCTCGAGTGTGAAATGCCGATGAGACGGAAGATTCCAAGAACGTTCACACTAGCGAAATCGAGTCAGACGGGACGTGTTCGCTTTGAGATGGAAAGGAAGTTTGAGGCGTGGAAACTTACAGAACACCCATAGTGAACAGACCAAGCAGACCCAAGCGCGACTTCGTCCGAGTTCCAGCCTCCAGGAACAGGGGAATAGGTATCGCAAATACAATCAGGTCCAGTGCAACATTCATGCCGACGTGGCTCTCAAAGCTTTTCGCAAAGATAATGGGGTCGCGGGAACCAAATGCCCATCGAGTGTCCGTAGTCGATGCAAGGTCCCAGAAGGCCGATACGGGAAGGCAGGGGATCCAGGCGATGAAGGAGTAAGCTACACCCCATAGCGCTGTGATGTATATGACAACAATGGTAACGAATCGAGACTTCGTGTTGCGTTCAAACATTCGTAGATATTGGAACAGTAAGGCCAATTTGATTAGAGCTGTTGCCATTGGGTATGCGCCGTTACAGACATAAAAGGCTTTGATGAAGGATTGCATGCCGTTAACTCCGAGTAATAGAAAGTGTTTGCCTAGCCCATAATCCGTGGCTATACCGAAGGGTTAGAGGACCTTTCTTTCGTAGGCGCGACAGAGTGAAGACACTTACCCACGCACGTCGCGATAGATAAAAGCAGGCTGGTAAGCTGTGGGCCAAATGTTAGACATTGAAAGTAATACGACACCATTGCCTGACAGCCACTTACCAAAGATAACACAACGAAGAAATCATCCCATCCCGGACATCGAGCAATAAAAAGCCGGACATAGAGTCGAAAAGCACCGCATATCCAGGCGACAAGCTGCGGGAACTTGTTAGAAGCTGCAATGATATTGATGTGGTTCATGAGCATCAAGTACCAGAAAAGAAACGACCATAGCTAGGACTGCTGGTCGTTGGTTGAGAACCGGCACAGGATCTTTGAGGTTGTCGGCTTTGCCGAGTAATTCAAGTATGGAGCCGCCCATTTTCTACCAGGGTTCTCGAGATCGGGGCCGTTGCCGTTTGCATACTCGGGGGGGGAAGACTTCGAATTCCGTAGGTCGAAGTCCAGCTCGCGGGTAGGTTTCGGGTCGGAGTTCTCAGCCGTTGGCCAGCAAGAGTCGGCGGATAATCAAATAAGACAACTCATTCGGGATAAAATGGAGACGGTCTAGACGGGCTGGAAAGGTTGGACAAGAGCGAAGGAGGGAGAGGCAGCAATGATAAATGGTTCCCAAAGTCAAGCCGTCCGTCAAGCCGTTCTCGAGATGAACCCGACTGGGGGTGTTTGAGTAGCTCCAGAAAGTGGTGCGCGCCACACCCTGCAGTTTGGTACCTCGAAAGAGCCGTCAGCACCGGGGCCCCTGCACACGTGGTATGGGCATTCCGGAATTGGGTTGGGGGACACGGCTAACCAAGTGCCTTTTTGTTGCTGGCGAACTTGTTTCACCTGATGCAGATAGCACTGGCGTTTTGCGTGGACAAAGACGGTCAAGATCGCTCATGGCTGGCATTGAGACGAGGGCTTCAAGGTTCGAGGCTTCCTTGCCACTCACTCTATGGTAAGTTATTCCGTGCCTCTCTGCGTAAGTACATGCATGTGTACATGTGTGAGAGAGCTGAGGCGGTTTCGTCCCCTTCGAATCTCTCTCTCTCTCTCCCTCTTTTTCTTGCTCCTCGCAAATCTCACCCTTGAAATGGAGACTCGATTCAGTTCTCCAACTTTCCCGCCCAGATGAGAGACTCCACAAGCCGATCAGCCGATCAAAGTGCGAACAGGTCAATAGGAAACGCTGTGCACAATTAAAAATAAATGGCAAACATACGTAATTTTTGGCCAATCCAAAATTGCTGCTCACTGTGGATATGTCTTGGTGTTTGCTTCTGCGCCCTCGTTTCTTTTTCTTCCATGCCGCTCACCGTTGCTTCTCTCTTCCTTCTGCAGCGTTAGACGTTTTTTCAAGTGACCCGAGCGTACAGCATGCAGACAGACTTGGACATGTTTGAAATGTCGTGCGTGTTTACCCCATTCCCATTTCTTCCCCATCTCCTTTTAGAGTCGTATTTCTTCGCTCAGACGATAAAGTGACAAGCAAACACTCATCACATCATCATAAATCACAAAGGGGTTGTGCGAACGGATTCCTTGGCCCCTCCTGGAAGGCAAATGCAACATGAACAGCCATCGTCTCGTCTTTCATCGCAGAGGCGCAACATGTCGGGGACGTCGCCTACCGACTGGCCTTCCTTTCTTGGAATTCTGCCATGTTTTGAGGGGTGGGAAACAGATGAAGGGACGAACAAGACACACACAACACACCAGTCTTGTTCGTTGTATCGGCTCCCCTGCAGGGTCACCACGTCCAAACGAGGGGAATCGGCGAATCAGCATCGGGCCAGTCGAGCCTGGAGGGTTCGCTCGGACAGCCGCGGCGTCGGACCGTCTGGGGCCAAGGCAGTCCGGGGTCTTTCTAAGAGTCCTCCGTTCAAGATCTACGGCTAGCTCGAGTGGGGATCACTGGATCAGTGACGATTGTCTCCGTGCTTACTCTTCAATTGCATCCGGACCTTGCTTCTTTATTACCTACCAGCTTCCCGGACTTGCCTTTTTCTTTCATTGTTGGCCCGAATGGTCCTAGGAGGCTTTTCGTGCGTTGATGGACAAGACTTCCCTAGTGAGACATGCTGAGGGGCCGCGGGATGATCGACATCCACTGGGAGATCTGGCCAAATCAGAGAAGCTTTGGCCGCCGGAAGAAGCAAGCTGTGTAACGCTGGCACTGAGCTGGCAAACTTGGCCCGGGCATTATTGAGAATTAAGCGTCGTATCAAGAGTTGGGCGCTGTCACGATTGATTTTCCACTCACGGTAACTTGGCTCTCACTTTGTCAACTGTTGCATGAAACAATCACCGGCTCATAGTAAAGTAGCAAAGGAAACTCATGACATCTCAATTTTCATCTACTAATTCTGGCCTCTGCCACGGAGAAGATGCCAGTTCTAGCTAAGCGTGCCGCTTCAATTCAGCCAGCTCGCTTCCGCATGGCCTCTGCGCAAGCCACCGTAGTCCTCCGGCACCGTTAACTTGGGTCTAGCGATGACTTTAGCAATGTAGAGAACTGGTCTGGTTCCAAGAATCTGGAATTCCTCCGAGTCAGATGCAGTTTAACTCGTCTGACAGTGAGACCATTTTGAACAGGGATTCAGCCACTTTTTCTTTAAGAAATCGAGATTATCTTACGTCGGGAGGCAGCATAGACCTTCTTTGACAACGGTTTGGCAATGGGAAGCGCCCCGTAAATTGTTTGCAAGAGAACGCATGAGTCGAATTGGGTTCACCGACACATCGAATGAATATATGGTTAGACTTCGATAGGCGATCATGTTGGCGTGGCTCAGCCTTTGCCGGTGCCACCCTCTGCCTCTGCGAGCGTGATATCCTGGCGCCGGCACTCCAAATGACAGGCAAAAGCCACCAAAATCATCCCCAAGAAGCGCCTCATAACCTTCACAGTCTCGCTCATGAAGTCAAAAATTCTCAAATGTGTCAAGTACAGAAGATCGCGTTTGTATGGATGGGATGGTCAATGAAACCATGCCGACGGGATACCTTCAATACGGCTGATCAACAGTGAAGCCAGGAATAGCCGATTCAACAACGGTAATTACCGTCTTCGCCATTTATCGAGTCTTTGGGCTCAGAATCACAGCCGCATCCGGCTGTTGCCAACATCTTGTCTCGTTTCATGATGTCTCGCACAACAACGAATACATATATCAACAGCAAGCCACCACCAAGATGCCTTTGCCTCACGGACTCCGACTGCCACGCGACGTTCAGGTGATCGGGCCATTCTGACAGCACTACAAGCCAGCCTCACCAGAGACTATGGCATTATAGCTTCCTCTCCTTTGCCCAATTTGTGAATCCGATGCAGTGGGGCATCGGTCGATGTTGGCCAAAGCGCTATCGACGTTCCGGCCAGAATGAGGTCTGGCTCATGTTCGTGGCGCCGGGGCTGAGAGTCCGGCGGCTGTGTCGGTTCGGGCCCACGTAAGCTAGAGACTCTTCCGGCCGAAAGACCTTCAACAGAATAAGTTCCAGGGGACTAAAGCTCCTTGGTCGGCGGAAGTCGTATCCGAGGATTGTGGTTCGCGGCTTGATTACCATGAGCGCTAGCTTCTTCACGTAGGAACCGCATCGAGGATGGATCAGGGCATTGTTCGTCCTGCTGCGGCCCGGCAATCTGGCATCGCGACGCCAAGGGCGCTGATGCCAATCCTACAGTTAGGCAAGGGCATCAGGCAGAAGCTCTACTCTCTCCTATTGCCAATACTTGTAGGAGAGTCCATACGCGTTCTTTGGAAGAATTCTCGATGGTAATTCCACTAGGTCCTCTGTGACATAATCCCAATCCGGAGACGGTACAGGCACCGGAACTAGGAGCCTGCCTCGCCGAAACAAAGGCGGCGGTGAGTGAGGTCATATTAATCCACTGAGCGTTGGATTCTGACTCAAAAGTCAGTAAAGTTGAAAGGCTTGAAACCAACGCCGGATGAATGGCTCAACGGTTTGTCCAAACTACCGCTTTCGGGATTCTGTTCCCGTCAGCAGTCACATATCACGATTCTGAGCAAGATTACTCCAGTGAGGTTCTGGCATAACAAGATTCCAGATTTATTCATCTTGTGGCCCTTGCTACTCAGTCCCACTTCGATTCGGCTCGAAGCGCGCCGGGTCGGCGCGATGTAGTTCTCCAGGGTGCATCCCTCGAGTATCCGGCGCTAGCATCTACAGGACCTCACATCATCGAACCTCCCACTCATCCCTGGAGAGATACTATTGGGTGGTTTTACGACTAAATAAATATATGTACTATTAACTCAGTAATGTTGCATCGTCCCAGCAACCAAAGAGTCAAACTTCACAGGAGCAGAGACCTCCTAATGATCTTCTAAAGCAGCCATGCCCAGGCAACTTACCTATAATGCACCTTTTCGTGAGAAGGCTGCACACCGTTGACTTACCCTAAGAAAGGCCGAATACTCTGAACCTGAGCTCACTCTACGTGATCTCCAGACATGCCACATAACAATACTCCTACTTTCTCCAGCTGGTGTTCTTTCCTAAATAGTACTACGAAGGTCAATTGAACAGTTCAACCCAGATAAATAGACTTCAAGACGCCTAGTATGTTATCATAGCCCAGAAGCAGATCTATGAGGACCTGAGTTAGAAAGCTCATGCGGTGTAAAGGCTCAAGAAATCTTAGATGTATAATCCGACGCTTACCTTTAGAGCTGAAACTTTATAATCCGACTCAGGTTTCAATGCGTTTCTTACGATAATCACCTTCGTGACTATGTAACTCGACTGATACCGCTTGAGGCAGGGGCAAAAGTAACTTAATAAGACCTCAAG